TTACTGTAATCTATAATAATAAAAAAAAGCTACCTTTTAGAGTTCATATGGTCATTTATATAATTTTAAGACAAATTTTTCATTTGAGCGTAATAGAAAGAACATTATACAGGCAACCTTATATACACCAATGTAAATCGAATTGCGTATATTTTCTTGGAAACCTCTCTTTTATGCTAATTGACAATTGGAAATAGTTTAATGCAAACAAAACTAGTAATCAAAAAGTTTGAGTGTTTTTTTCTTACCCTCTCTTCATTTGAATTCCTATTTGGGGCTGCTGTAACCTTATAGAGAACGTAAAGAAATAGGAAAAGCATGAACTTCTTTTTGAACATTTTTATATGGCGATGTATCAATTGTTAGAACAACTGATGCTGTGTCATGAATTGATTCAATAAAAACTTAAAATTATTCGAAATGGTTGAAATTGTATCATAAAGGAAGTACATGCAGTAATTTGTTTAATCTAAATTTCAGGGTTAAAACAATTTTTATTATTGTATAGCAGTTTCGTGATTTTTCAACATTAATTTCTTATCTTATTATAAATCGGTTAAATCATTAATGTTAATTATTGGTCTGATTTAATATGTTTTAATGAGATGAATTTTACAAAAATATAGCTTTTGCCTTCATATTCTGCTTGTAATGTTTTTTTTTTAAGTAATTATTTTAGGATGTCAAAATATACAGGGTGTAACTTTATAATTTTTTTAATTTATTGCATAAACACTAAGGACAATTCATTTTAAGAACAGTTTCGTTTAATTATTCTTAAATATAATAAACTTCACTAACTTGGCTTCTTATTTTTAGCTAAAAGAGATGTAGAAGTATTTTTGGGCGAACCGTGGGGCTCCACAACAATCGAAAGGAGTATGCTTCCCCAAAAATTCTATCATGATTTTTACTGTTCCGCTGAATCGTTTAGTTACGCCTTTGGCCCGTGTTGGGAACCAGTAATAGCACAATGTAATTTAAGTAAGTTCTTGAACTTTTAGGATTACAAAAAAAATAATATACTAATAAACTACTTGGTCTTTGAAAATGTTTTTTTTGTAGCATTTGAAAAAATTCAACCCATATCAAAAGACCCATCACCACCATTGCCATTCTGGGATAAGATGCGTCTTCTGTTACATGGTCGTTTAACGATGGAAGTTCAACAGCTAACGATATTACTTCACGCTTCCTTAGATCCTTATAACACCACCGAAGAAATGGAGTTAACATGGAACAAAGTTGTAATGGACTGGCTTAATGGTATGAAATATTTTAGAACTTGATATCTCGTTAAATAAAGAAGGATATTAAGTAGACAGTTGTTAGAGTGATTATCGATTTGTTTGATTTATAATTAACATTTTTAACTATGATAATAATTAGTTAAATGTATTTTTTCTAGCCAAATTTCTGTTCAAAGGAGACTTGAACATTTTTGTGAGAACCGCTTCGAAGTACGATGATTGCCAGCTGGTACACTTACCGAGTCTTAAATTGGTCATCAATATTCAATGGGTGTGTTTGGGGGATCCCAACGACCACCATAACGTTATACAGTGCGCTCCAGATAAAATACCAGAATATTCCAGTAATCAAGTAAGTTAATCGCAAAATTAACTGTAATAATCACATATTTATAATGAACTTTTCTTCAGAGACATAAAANAAACAGTCTTTTTTTGAATAAAATAATTTTTTTTATATTTTAAAAGTTAATTATTTTAGTGATTTTAAAGTAGTCCTTTTGGAATAAGGACAATACTGTCAACCAATAGTTTTGTTGAGTCAAAAAATTAGAATAATGTTCTTTTTATTCCTTAATTATGTATTAACAAAGGGGGGATCATTGGTTTTGCTGATTTCTTTAGATTCCATTCAAACAAATTCTGTTTTTTCTTCTAAATGTCTTCTTCCGCTAAGGTTCATGATTCGTTCCGTGCATTCCGTTCCCAAAACGTTAACTTGAGCATATCTCTTGAAACAAAACCCTCGTCGACCCAGTCTCCGACGAACAGTTGCCCTGTTGTGTCCCTTTACGGGAGCACATTGCGATGGATAGAAAATTTGAAGTTAATCCTCTCAGGTGTGACTAGACCGACTCGAAGGGGGCGCATATTCAACAACATCAGACCGAGAAAAGTACAACTTAGTCGACATTACAAGAAAGTCCACCTACAAGTCGGTTTACACAAGTTCCAAGTATGTTATTGGATGTCATTCGCTATGCAAAAAGGCTTTGAACTCTTAGGTGGCAGGTTGTCTTCAAGTTCTGGTAAGTACCACTACGTTTTCGGATCTTTAAATAATAAGTAATTAAATAGTTTTTAATTTTTCGATATTGTTTTTAATCTTAGAGCATACATTGTCTTTGGTTCCAATCGACGACGGTCTTAAGCATCGTCCGAAGGCCGAATGGTCCATAGTTTACATGAATTCCGAACTCAATGATACAGAAATATGGTTGAAAAGTGCGCTTCAAGAAGATCCCGAAAAAGAAGCGATCTCTTTAAGGCAACCGGTAGAAAAGTGCTTTTGTCTTTCGGTAGCGAAAGTGTCTTACGGTCGCGAGACTGTTTTGCCCAAGTGTGAACCCTCTGCAAAGGAAAGAAATAAAGAAGCGCCCACGCACAAATTGGTTGTGTATGATCTGAGAGGAGCGTGGACTAAAAGTAACAGGAACGTGGCTTTTGCACTTTTTGATACTTTCATGAAGACTAAGGTAAATACTCAGTAAATTATTTAATTAAACATTGAAATCTAAGAAGTAAATGTAAATAAATTGTTCACAAAGCTTAAGTCGACACCATATGTTATTGAAGTTTAATAATCTTTTTCTCCTGTAGCGAATGAAAAAGAATTTATCCACTGACGCCATCAAAAGTATAAGAAAAGAAAACAATTCTACTCCATTGAAACGTCGGAGCACTGATTCAGGGAGTGCCCCATCGAATTCACAATTACCAGTTCGTACACATTACTAACTTTTAGAACTTTTAATTTATATAAGTATCTTTCTGGATGTGCTGTTTTTTGCCTCAAAATATGTTTTAAGAAGCGTTATATTTAAATTTATTTGATTGCTAATTATGTAACAAAATATCTCTTTTAGTCTCTGCCGTCAACGTCGACTTTAGAAGATGCGCCTTCTCCCAGTACCAAATTGCAATCAGGCAATGCTGCAAACATGTTAAAACAACTTATCGCCGAAGCTGATAACAAGAATGTAGTCTTTAGTGATGATTTGTCGTCGGCAACCAGACAGCAGCAGTTACAAGGGCGACAGGCATGCCAAGAGGATGACGTATTGCACATGAACTGGCTCAGTAAGTCATTGTTAAGCTTTCCTGCATGTAACAGAAAAACATTTTATACAAATGTGTTCCTGCACCCTTTAATTACAATACTACTGAAAATTACAGAGTTTGCAAGAAAACTGTTTCTGTTTGATTCTAATTTTAGTAGAATCTGACCCTTAATTTTTACATATTTACATGATTACATACTGTAGTGATAATGTCATTTGCTTTAATGTAAATTAATTCTTAAAAAATAAGCAACACAAATGACTAACTTAGTGAAGGTATGTTACTAACGTATTGTTTTCTAGTTTCACTAGTTAATGCACAAGTGCTTCTTCGTGGATGTGAAACGAAAGGCTATGTGATCTTAAGTGCCGCAAATGCTCAGATTTTACAAAAAATCCACCGTCCCGTCTGGAAAGATAGAACATTAGTATCTAAGACAACTTGGGTGGGTCTGTTGGAGTGTCTGCAGTATTATGCGACTGTGAATGCCGGACAAAACGATTCCATTAATGGTAAGTAAATTTTTATTGCTTATTTATAATAATATTCAATTCAATTTAATTTATTGTACAGCATACAAATTGTAATATATAAGAATACATATTATTTTTCATAGTTTTTTATCTTCCAAGTTCATTAACTTTTTCTTCATTTTTCATTTCTTTTTAACCTTAGAATATGTAATATATTTTTACTTCAGAGAATNAGAGAGTCAAAGGACACGTTTGGCGCCACTGCCCCGTTATAACAGGCAAACTCTCTACGGCACGGCAGCTAAGGCACGAACGATGGCATCGTTTGTTACTTACATGTTGGTATTATGGTGTTCGGTGGGTGACGATGATGCCCTGTCGATCGCTGTTTCTCCGGTAACTCGAGGAATCGTGGGGTTTACCAGCCACCTACGCGTTAGTCACATTGCAACCCACTGACTTGCTGTATACAAAACAGGTGTAAAGGAAAAAGTGGAACGGTTTTAATTCTATTTTCAAACAATAAACACGAAAACTAAACGATACATTTTCAGTAGGATTGTGTTTTTTTTATTCGTATTGTTTCGAGATGTAAATGTGAATTTTTCTACGTGGGTTATGGGGACATTAGTGTCGATCCTGAAGAGTTTGGTGAGGTGCCACCCCCGCCCCAGGAAGACGTAGGCCTCTGGGATCACCGGCAAACCCCCGCAGACGCATTTACACTCATGCATCACGACTTAGACGTTTGCACCAATTCCTTGCAGGTAAATAAATTAGAATGATTATCTGCACTATTATATAAAGCGATTTGTTCATGTGTAAGGGTTAATCTGTTTATATTTTATTTTGATAGAAATAATTTTTCAATTTTAAATCTCAATATTTGTAAATCAAATGCTATATGGCGTGCTCATGAGATCTAATAACTCATATCGTTGTCATATACTTATACACTTCTACTTCTTAATATTTCAGTATGCCATGTTGTTGGACATCGTAAACAACTTGTTACTGTACGTAGAACCTCATAGGAAGGAAGCCCTGGAACGTCTTGCACGTATGAGGTTCCAGCTTCAGTTACATAGTATGGAAGACCAAAGGAGACCTATTCAGAGTTTACAAAATCAAGTTCGATCGACAATAAGCAAGCTGCGAAGACTTGAAAAAGAAACTTATTTAATTAATAAAGCTTCGCAAGAAGAACCGAACAATGTAGAACTTCTTCAGGAAATTGAGAAATTGGAGAATCTAGTGAGTTCTTTTAAAGTGCTGACGTGGTAGTAAATATTAATGAATGTCTGCAGGTATACGAATGCAAAGACGTACTGAATGCCCAAAGCGAAGAGTTAGATATGATGATTTCTTGTTACAAAGAGTCACAACTGCTAGCCAATAGTCGATTGGCAACCACAAGAAATAACAAACCCCTGACCGTTGTGAGGGCCAACGAAATCTTCTTCAAGCATGCCCAGTGGAGACTTACAGAGGCTGACGGGCAGATTGGAATTGCTGATTTGGTATTAAGTAACTTTTTGTAAGTAGGAAGTTGAAAAAACTAGTTTACCCTTTCAGGCTATAAATGCTATATGTTGTAGGTATACAAAAATATCAAAAAGTGATGACTCAGTCGAGCATTTATTAGAATTGGGGTACCTAAGAATGACTAATTTATTACCAAATCAGCCCTATAAAGAAGTACTCGTCCCAACTGAAATTCAAAGTAATATGCCTGTTGAAAATAAGGTATGCTTATCTATCATTTAATACTACTCAAGACACTACATATACGATAATAGCAAAATGCTCGCCTCCAACAACTCTAACTACCAGTTTTCCCGCACATTTTTTTAATGAACGCCAAATAAGGAGACCTTTAATTTAATATATGGTACATGTACCTGCGAACTGCCACCTATGCAAACATTACTTAAAAATTTATATTAAGTATATAGTCGAGAGCATTATTATTATTATTAAAAATAATTTTTTATAGAGGGTCGTCAGGGTGTTTTGTAGAGAGAAGCCACCGGTAGGTGGCATTTCAGTTAAGGAACATTTTGAAATAAATGTAGTACCATTTACAATTGGTAAGTAGATTTTGCATTATTATAAAAAATATCATTTTATGTTAGGCTGTAGGCTATTTGTTTAATTTATACAAATGCATTTTTTATAACATTTTTTAACTTATCGCTTTGTTTCGTAGGTATTACGAAAAAATTCTATAATACTATGTTGAAGTTCTGTTTCCCGGAAAAAGATCCGGAAAACATTGAAGGGGAAAGAGGAGATGATATTGACATGGAGGCAAGGGGTAAAAAGTACCGAAGTTCAGGAAGAGGCAAGAGAGATTCCAATTTTTACATTCCTATAGACGACGTAGAAAAAATGAAGGTACATAATACTACATTAGCTATCACATACATAGTGTATCCTGAAATAGAATTGTCTATTAAGTTTAAATGAAGGACAAACCTGACAATAAATAAAAAAACATTAATCATAAGTGATAATACGTTGTATATGATAAGGTTATTACTTTTGGTACAAAAGTGTATTGTTAGGTATTATGTGGTAATTTTTATACAGGAAAGAGCAGAAAAGAATAAACTGTTCATCTACATAAAAATACCTGAAGTGCCAGTTCGAGTGAGCTACAAAGGAACCAAAGAAAAAAATCTAGAAGATATCAGAGACTTCTCCTTAGTAATTCCCACTTTAGAATATCATAATGTTACTTGGACGTGGCTAGATTTGTTATTAGCAATGAAATCGGATACAAGGCGCGTTATTTTGTCCCAAGTAAGGCTTCAAAGCCGAAACTATATTAATATAATATTGTAACAAAAATATCTTTTCATTTTTAAGGCAATCAAACAAAAACTTACAATAAAAAGACACACAGGGTCTTCTGACGAGACCAACTTGCCACACGAAGAAGACAAGGCCAAAATCCTTTTTGGTGCACGACATGTACGTTTTTTCTTTGATTATCTTTTTTTTTTGCTTTCTTAATTATGTTTATTTTAATGTTACAGGCAACTGAAACCCGTAACTCTAAAAGAAGTGGGGTTTTTAAATTTGGCAAATAAACAAAGAGAACATAGTCGGTAAGATATTCCAAAATTCATTCATTAGTATTGTTTATTATTCGTTTTTTGTCATGATAATGAACTAGTCAATTTTTATATACTTACTGTTTCCCAATTTTTAACTGAATTGGATTAAAACTTTTTTTAATTCTTTTAAAATGTGCAGATTATAGTAGTCAGCACAAAAGTATTACTACAGTATTTTCTTCAATTGCTATAAATTTAATTGAGCTACTTAAAAACCTTCAGATGGAGCCAATTTTCCATTCTGTTATAAGTAGACACTACCTGACTTCCCCTTTTCCTTTTTAAAATGCATTTTAGTACATATGAAGTATCAAGTATTTTTAATTTTATTTATTTAAACTAGTTCTTGTTGTTATTATCGTTGTCGTTACCACTGATGTTTGTTTACGAAAGAAAAAATGAAACTACATATTTATATATGTGTGTGTATGAAACTTTAATAATTATTTATAGTTCTACAAGTATTTTCGTACAGCAGTTGTATGTTAATAAAATTTTCACGAATTGTATGGCCACGTTGTCCTTTGCACATGCCCTTTGTACTTGTCCTTATATTTCAAGCCAGTAACTATCGTCGAACTTCGATTAAACGCAGTCAAACCTTTAAACATTTTGTCGGTCTCTGAAAAATACAGCAAATGAAGAATTTCGTCGTAAAAAATACCTGATTTGAAGCACTTTAATAGTGATTTTTGCAGCTTTGGGTATTGACAAAGGCATAACTCCCATTTTTGCTAATCCAAAAGATTCAAATGAAAAGGGTAACTGCGTAAATTTACGTTAAACAATTAAATAAATGTAATTTTACAAACCTGGATGGAATCTGTGATATTCGTATTGAACATGAAGGTTCTTTGGTAATTCAATATTCTTTAGAGTGTCCAAAGGTGTCACTTTGTTTAACGGTGTACTATAAAATTTGACTACATCTTCTAAGGTTTCGATTTGATGCAACATTGAATTAGGAATGCTGTGTTGAAACTCGAGAAAACAAGAATTTAATACAGTGAAACGCTTATTTAAATCGTTTAGTTTGTATTTTAAGTCTGAAGAGCCTAAAGCACCTTGAAATATCTTTTCCAGTTTACTTTCAAGATCTTCTGGTGGTTGGTATTCTTTTTGAGAACGTAAAAACCTGAAAACAATGAAACTTTTGGATACGATTTCTAGAAAATGAAAAGGTCAGTTTATCTTTAAAATTTTAAAGTATCACTAAGAAATTTTTTTTCTGGAAAATTCATATTTTGAGGAGAAACCGAGAATAGGCACAATTAGAGAGCATTTCTTATTACATTTTAAGTAAAAAAATTTGTAATTTTAATAATAAATTACATAATTTTGCGTTTTACACTTACATGAAAAAATTTTGAAATATTACTGCAATTAATTGTAAATGTCATAGGTGAAAGTTTAGATCAGGATACGTGCAACATCGGCAAATTATAAATAGCACTGTTTACGAGAATATCAAATGGAGTTTTGTGGAACTGAAACTGAAGATGATACTTTAGANTGATCTTTTTCTTATTTAAAAATATATAAATTTATAGTAATTTTAACCAGTTATATGAAAAAAAGTTATTAATACTTTATGAATAATTAATTAACTTTCCTTTAAAGAAATAATAATCAAATGGTTTTTACCAACAAAGAAAAACAAAAACCTGAAAACTCGCGATATAATAATAATTACATTTTCAGTAAAACGCAATTATTGTAAAATTACATCGAAAGTACTACAGTATTCGATTTAGTTGCCTAGTAAATATGTTATGTAATGTGTGTTGCCTAAGAAAGTGATGGATAATTTAAAAAAATAAACATTAAATATTCCCAAAGGCTGCGAGTAATAAATTGTGGCAAATAAAAATGTTTAAAAATAAAAAGTGATAATATTTCTCGAGAAAATGCTCGATCGAATCGGAATTTTCAATTTTCATACAATACGCGCAGTATCAGATTTATCGACCCCGTCCGGTGGCTCCCCCTGCCGTGTAAAGTCGTTCTAATAAAACAAGCGAAAGCTGGTGATTGTTAATTTCCCCGCACAAGTGGCAGTTGATTGCGGTCTTAGATCGAGTACACACCCTTTAGCTGCCAAGGATTCCGCCGACGAGTCTATCTTAGGTCCTACTTTCCTGTCTATGCCCTTCTTTTTCTCGGCTTTTGTCGCATAAAACATCGGAAATACCTAGACATACAAAAAGAAAAACGGGAAAGTGCTTGTCGGTAGTTCGAAATTTCAAAGCAAGTGACAACTCGTGTGTAAGTAAATGTGAAAGTGCGTGCATGTCGTCGATACACAAATGATCACTTGAACTGTATAGTTTATTGTTAGTGTGTGAATGTGAAGAATGATGTTAAAAAAAGGGTTATATTTACGTTTCTAGTTGAAAAAGTTTGGCCTGTTTTCAAAACACCGTGTTTCACAAGCGCCGCCATGGTTTCTACTTATATGCGGACGCTACATGTTACGACGTAACGTAATGACGCCACTCGTTTGTGAAGGATTTAATGCGAAGTTGTTGCGCTAGGGACGTATGCGATTTCTGTGTTCGGACTGTGAAACTGTAAAATGCCTCGGTCTTCTACCGATTGGAAGCGCTGAATTAGTGTGGCTTGTTGTTTCCTATCCGCCATTTTGCAGTCGCGATAGAAAGGCAAAAATCTTAATAAATGTACATGTTAGAGTCGCGTTTTTTGTGATTTCGGCGTGAAGTGCGTGTTTCAAGTGTCGTGAAACCAAATTCTTAAACATGGATCAACGATGACGCATCAAAATTTTCAAACTAACGGAGCTAGCTTGGAGGATTGCCACACAAATTTCTTTGCCTTGGTAAGTAAGCAAACATTAGAAAAGTGTAGCATGTTCCGAATGTGTGTCACGGCACATACAAGTGCCGCATTCTTTCGCTTCCTCTCATTGTAAATAAGAATACTTTCTTCTATCGTTTGTTACGTTTTATAACCTTGAAAGTATGACAAAGTTTTCCGAATATCTATTCTTACTTATTATTCATTTTCAAATAGTAAACAATGCAAAAGTAATTTTGTGTATCATTTTTCCTTGCAATAATTCCAGTTACACCTGAATTGTTCATGAATTCTCTCGTAATATTCCACAGATTCAAGATTATGAAATTTTGACTGTTTTTCGCCTGTAGTGCTATCACGTTTGAGATAAACGTGATTAAGATTTTCGTAGTAGGAAGCCAGCTTTGACTCGTTGTTTTTAAGCTGTACGTTGTATGTTGTATTAAATAAGAGGGAACTTGCTTGTTGGACATACCTAAAGACATTTTCCTGTTAATTTTTAGGTTAACTTTAGTTTTTACTCAAGTCCATTCTCGTGTGAACGAACTGTCTAACTGTGCTGTGTTGCCAGATGTCGGCGTAACGGTCTTGATATCCTAACGTTAGCCTTCCATGGATATCTAGATCTTACGCCCGTTTTGTTTTCGGTTACAAGTCTAGAATGAATCCCTTACGAAGCATTTTGAGACATTAATAATTTGCGAGGTTTTTACTGTTTTTCTCCTTTCTCATAATAGGTACTTAGTTGTACCACTGCTATGTTGTTTATGTTTACTAAGACGTTATCTTTGATAGGAAATAACGCACGATAATTGAAAGGTCGTTGAGTAGGTGATAGGTGATGTTTTTTCTAATATAAAATTGACGTTTATATATTTACCATTCAAAAATGCGTTCTTTAAAAAAAAAGATACCACAAAATAAAACATTCCAAGTTAGATAAACTGTTTCAATTGTTTCGGTTTTTATGTTTCTTTCATATTTACGGGACTGTTTTTTAATGCTCTATTAAGAAAGTGAGAGGTATTCGCCAGTGGCGTGCCAATGGTACTTTAACGTTACGCAGTAAATTTAATGATACATGTATTTTATAAAAAAAAAGTACTGGTCTGTAGAATGCTTCTTTGGACGCAATTGCTGTTTTATTTATTATATAATTAAAAGTATTTATATAAATTGCCCAATGTAAATATCGTATATAGGTACCTATTTATTCATGTAACGGAGTTTACAAATTATAACAACCTAGTAACCCAGTTATTTGCATATGAAGTTAGTAATTGGATTGCAAAAACAGTACTTAAAAAACTGGCTGTATTTCTCAATATTCGAAATACGTATATAAATATTTTTGCATTAAAACAATATTGTCAAAATAAGTAAAGTAGTTTATTTGCACCTATTACATGTTATGTTCATTTCGGTTACTTATCTTATCTTAGCTTAGTTATATGTTACATTAGATAGATTACATGTGAGGTAGGCAGATAAGGTTTCTCTGATCTGCAGTCAGATAATTTGCCTAGCATTTTTGTTATTTAATATTTATTGCAGCGTATTCAAGTGATGCAACAACTAATACCAGTCTCATAAATTTAGTCTTTTATCGTTATCTTTAAAAAGCTAATACCGTTAATAAAACAAAAAGAATTAATACCTAATAAGACATTGTTATTATTTTGTTTCTTTATTGTTACAATCGACCAAATAAGTATTGAAAGATAACCAATCGAAGAATTAAATAAATAATTAATTTATATTTTCCTTCATTTAAAAAAAAAAATAAGTAATTACGTAGAATATTTACGAAATATATAAAGGTAAGGTTCACATTAAAAAGAAATTCTCGTCGATACTTGAAAAATGAGATTTAATAATACTACGAAAACATCTGTTTAGGTACAAATATGTTTATGTTTGTATGTATAACTTTACCGTCTGCGGTTAGCGTTCTTAGATATAGATATATGCGTGTATACGTGAGATTACGCGCTCATGTGTACAATACTTGCAGCATGGTGTTATCTTTCCTCGTGGAACAGCTGCACTTGTGTCACCGACTGTACTCATAATGACCGCAACGTTGCCACATCGCTAACAAATTATTTGAAAATGTATTTTTTTTTTTATTAAGTATTTTTGAAACTACTGGACCTAATATTTGAAACAATTTGGGAGTAACACCTTAAGTACCTATAATTTTTGGTCTTACAGACTTTTAGAAATTAATTTTTTTTTAAGGGGTAAGTACCTATTTGGTGAGGTAAAATACGGAAGCCCTCGGCGCGCCAGACATTGGCTGATTTTAAATAATGTAGTATGGCTAGATAACCTTGAAAATATTCTACATAGTGACGTCAGATTGTCGCGTCGGTATGTGAAGCAGAGGATGTAATAATTAGCAATAGGTAGCTAATATTATTTGTTATTATTAAAAAAAAAATCACCTTTCACCTTTGATGACAAATCTGTATCAAAGTAAGCGCCTGCTATGAAAAAAAAAATATTGTTTGGCACAGTGATTATGCGTGCTTTTCCAAATTAATTTTTAACATCTAGATTTAGAGGATGGGTGTAACTCAACACATGTTATCGATATTTTTATAGACGGATCGGACCAATTGAAACCAAAACAGTTCCAAAAATACTTTAATCGAAAAACGTCGTACTTTACACATACTAATACATATAGGTACTACGTTACCTAACTGTTGCATTTTAAATATTTTTAAGGTTTATCAATTTATCATAATAAATATTGTAACAGTTGCAATAAAAATGTACAGTAGTCAACATAAAATATGGTTTGTATACATTAAAACTACGTGAAAACTCTTTCTAATTTTATTGTAAGTAAATACGTGTTTATGTAGGGTATTGTGTAAATTTATTTTATTATTTAACTCTGCTGTGCGGAGAAACTTCACCTAAAATAATTACTGTTATAATGTGGTTGTTCCTTCGTAATGCCCTTGATGTAAATGGTAAAATTAACTTATTACTTTTTATTAGTCGCAAAAAATACATCAATTTCCATTCATGCGAAAAGCATCACCTACAACTACACTACAAAACGTTGTTGCCACAAAACACAAGTAGTGTGATCGAAAATGAAAATACAGGGAGATGTTTTTGAAGAATCTATATATTATTAAAAATATGTTGTGAAAGATCTTTGTTGCATGACCTTTAAAACGATAGTCACGTAGCATTATGTATGAAATATTATTTTTGATGTCTTGGTTTGTATCCTCGCCCCCCTCAACGCTGTAAAAATTTTCATAACATAAATTCGTGTACGTATTTGATATTCCTGTTTATATTAAAAAAGGTTTTTACTTACTTAAAGTAAAATAAAGTATTTGTTTATATGGTAGGTAGGGCCTTATTTTTTGTCCGATTAAGGATTATTTAAATTTAAATCTTTTACTAAAAAGACGCGAGGTTTTATGATTTTGGCTTATTGCGATTCTGCGGATTTTCAAATCTGTTTTGATTTTATATTATTGGCGTAGAATAAGACGATCGCCACGTCTTCGAGCCGTCCCTGTCCCATGAAGGACGGAATGGCGAGAACATGCGAAACAAATTAATAACGGATTATGATCTATCGAACGTCGTCCCAGTGGCGTAGACATTATTATTTCACCGGCGTACATACACAAAGATAACGTATTTGGCAACATTGCTACATTTTTTTTTTTTTTTATTATGCTTATCTAAGTTGACTCGCGTGTTTTAGATATTTACAAGTAAAAGAACAATAGCTACAAAATCCATGTATTTTGTTTTGTTTTGTTGTTGTGTTCATATCACGTCAGTGCAGTTATTATCTTCTCAATTTTAACCGAATGTGTACTTATTGTTTTTCATTGTTGTATGTATTAGTTTAAGGTAGCAAGTAATCAAAAAAAAAACTAAAAAACAAATTAGGCATCTTTATTGTTATGTTATACACATATTTATGAAAAACTACCTGATAAATTATGTGTTGTTTTGAACTTGGTCAAATAACTTCAACAAAGTTTACAATTAGGCATTTATTCTTTTTGTTAGATTTGCTAGAATTTATTGAGTAAAAATCGGATTTGTATCGGTATTAAAAACAGCTTAAAGTAGCTCAAATTTATTAACCTACTAATTGAGATTCTTAGTAATGTTAAATGTAATCTTTTTCTCTTATTTACTTCTATGTATTTTTTTATTATTTTTTTGTTCGTACTCTGATGCTGTTTTTTTCTAAAGAAATCTACTTTCACTTCAAGACATCTAGAAAATTAACAGTGGATATTGTATGCGTATTCTTTGCGAGTGTGTGTCTGTTCACGTATTACGTTACGAAACTTGTGTTAGTTAATTGCATATAACTGATTAATTAATAATAATACATAACAATTTTATGTTATATTGGCTGCATTGTGTTATAGTGTGTAATTATACAGAGCATTTCTAGGAAATAATACCTACTAATAATGATAGGTAATAATAATAATGACCAACGGTGAAATGATGCTGGGTACCTCTGCACTTCTTTTTTATCAAGTTTTTAACGATTTGAATTGACTGTATACATCTGTAAATTGGATTTGTTTCGTCTACTGTTTGGGTCATTTTCGGAAGGCGATGATAGGTTAGGTTAAATTATGGCGGGATATTTTTTTATTTTTTTAATGCTGGGCTCAAATCCTTGGGTCTATAGATTAGAAACGTTGCATAGGCTTTCCTATAACACAAACGAGTAGTAACGAAAATCCGCATGGACGAAACAGCTAATTACATATGCATCGTTGTTCATCATTACATGCGGATCCATTACAAGCGAACTTTACTGTATTTAATGTGTTTTCTCTTTCGTTACAGACTGAGCTCTCCGGTATAAAATGGCGTAAGTTGGTGTGGAGTGACGGAGGTGGCGGCGGTGGTTTGTGCTCGTCTTCGGCGACCGGGGCGTCCTCGGCCCCCCTCGACGACCCGGTTCTTCGGAGTTACGCGCGCTGTCTCGCGGCCGATATCCTGTGCGTGTGGCGTCGCGTTCCTTCGCCTCGCGGTTGCGGTACCGACAACCTGCTCGACTTTGTCGGGGCACCGGCCCCCCCGACGCAACCGCCACCCATAGCCGCGACGCATCCACCACCTCTCAGCCTGGCAGCCGCCAAAGAACTCTGGATCTTTTGGTACGGCGAAGAACCTGACCTGGGCGATCTTGTCACACCTGAACTACTAGCGCAAGGTGAGTCTTTTGTCTCTCTCTCTCTCTGTATTAGTTGTCTATTGTAGGATTTGAAATTTTTTGAATCGTTCTGGAAGATTCGGAAGTACAGTACAATTTCGATAATCCGAACTAATTATTGCGAAGGATTATTCGGATTATGAAGGAGCAGTCGTCTGTTAGACACAGATATTCATACATAAACTTTTTTTTAAACAAATCTGGAACAAAGAAAAAGCTCTCCGACAGTCGCTTCTCGAGCGAGGTGACGTCACACGCTTGCGCTGTACGAACTTGTTCGGACTATCAAGGTTCGTTCGGATTATCGAGGTTGTATTGCATTCCGAATGTGAAAAGAATCCAAGTATCGCGACGCGTTTCGACCAGAGACATGGAGAAATCATTTGCGGCATACACGATGTATAATATACATTTGTATGTATTTACAGCGTCGCGACGCCTCTCACATTGTCTATAGCCCTCGACGGAATCGTAAAATATCTGTACGTTAGTATAAGGCCCTGAGTATGAAAAATATTAGGAGGTATCTTTATAGCTTGACGAGGGAAATCTTCGTCCCCGAAAAGCAATCAAGGTAATGGAACGGTCGATCGATAAGGCGTTTTACGCTAATTATACTTATATAACAAATTAAGGGAAGAAACTACCCTGCGTGTGTCGCAAACGAACGGTAACAGTGACCACGTTGTCTCTGTATCTTATCGTTAGACTTACGTTAGTAAAAATATAGACTAGGTTTTTAAAATCAATGTAGCTACTTACATATTGTAGTTTATTTCATATAAACTCCGATATTGGCTAATGTCGAGATTAGCCAGCTATTTTCTTCTATTTCTTAACTAATTCATGTTGTAGTTGCTGTCCATACAGAAATAGAATTAATATATTTTTGAACATTAACCGGTTAATGTTGAAACTAACTACCGTTTCTATCTTATTAATATAGAATTAAATAAAACAGACAAATAGTACCGACTCCAAAAATGAAAACCCAAAGTGAGGTATCAAAATTAAATACATTCGCGTAATAGCTGGTTAATACACGTTCGTTACATTTTATTTTCACCTTCGCGTTAGGTGAAGTCAATATGTTAATATTATATTTAAGTCCGAATCAACGTGTAAGGAGTCCAAATTTCGAACTTTAACCGTAACATACACATTTTTTATCAGATTTGAAGTGGGGTATTCAATTTTACTGTCTTTTAGTTTGCTGAAGTGTTTTTGAAATAAAATCAATAACCGTATGGCCTTTGGAAATACGTTAGTAGATGCCTATGTGTATGTATAGAAAAACAATGACAGTGTCATATTCACGAATACTTAGTTACTGAGAAATGGATGAATGATTTACGGCGACAAAACGGAAGACAACTCGCGAATAGGTCAAAAGATGGTACGCATTTAGATAAGCAGAAGGAGGCAACGTTTGCTTGACGTGCGATATCCATATTCTACCAACACCAACACCACCGCCACCACGGTGCGGGTTGTACACGTATTGATCAAGAGTGCGACGAACGCTCTCACAGGCAGCAGGCTGAGAGAAAACGCCACCCGCCACCCCGACGGCGACGATGATAGCGAGGCAGCAGGCGGGTTGGCACAGTCCGTGGGCGCGGGGGGTTGACCGTTCGCGATGACTGACGTGTTGGGGTTAACCCTAACCGGGAGAAGAGATTTTCGCGCGAACGGAAAAAAAAACAGATTTCGATTTGTAGAACCCCATTGTGTATACGGTAGGCGGGTAGGTTTTTACGCGCCTGGGCGATTTAGGTTTGCGTCTATATGTACGTTCAGAGTAGGGCTTATTTTCTCTTAACGAAAAGTATAGGTAAGGCAAAATTTTCATCTGTCAGAAAAAAAACGTAATTTGGAGAACGTGTGGAATATATTTTTTCGACCACGACTTTCTGAAAATATCTCCTACATCCCCCTCAAACTGTTCTAAACTAACCGGAGTCTCAATTTTTTTTTCATAAGTATTGACGTCCCTAGAAAAGAAGACTGCTAGTATTTGTATGAATTTTCTACTCCAGGTCGTGTTTTTCAAAAGTTGATGCCCGCTCTATGATGATTGTATCTACCAAATACAATATCCCTATGTTCGGTTATCAACTCGCCACTAATGTATGTTGACAATTAAAAATTTATTGTCTACCCGGTTTATTTGAACAGGGTAGAAAAGACCTGGACACTTATCTATGTATATTGTATACATACATATGTTTTCCTCAACTATATTGGTATAGATTGAAGGGATTGATTTTTTTTAATAATGATAGGAAAATACATTGGTGACGAATTGAGTATCGAACACAGAAATATTCTATTATATGCAATCAATACGACGTGGTATACAGAAATTCGTACAAATACCTTTTGAAGTGAATAATTTTTGGGTCACCTGTATACCGAATGAAGTTTTTTTATGAAGAGTTTGTTATCTATGACGAACTAGAAAACTAATAAAAATAATCGAAAATAGTACTGAAAAGGCCAGACAATTCTGTAATATTTTGAGTTATCAAATAGTAGAAACAAATTGCCATACGTCTATTTCGTATGACCTGTCAAGCAGCCTAATAACTGTGTACTGCTATAAATTTTACCAGGGACCAATTATTCGTATTTTTTTATTGTTTTATTTACTCCGTCTCGTCGTATTATTGTTATATTGTGACAAAAAGCGTCGTAATTCTCGCTTAATTTGATTCATCCATCATTGTGCCTCCCGCATCTCACGACCGATCATATTCTCAACAGCGCAAAAAAATAACCGTCCAAGGTGGCCGCTACTTACTACCGCCACATAAATACACACGATCGCAATAAAAGTATGTAGGCATTTGTTGCTCGCCCGTGCGCAGACGCGTTATCGTCGAATTCTCGATCCGCGCGATAACAACCGATACACGATGATAATAAAAACGCAACCGAAATAAAACGGCGGCGAAGCGGGAATTGCTTTACGTCATTATGACGTAACGCGTGACGTCGACCGTACAGTAAGGAGAAGCCAGGCGATCTCTGCCGCTGCTGTTGGTTGGCGCACTCATTGTTGTCCGCTGAGGATCTAAGTGGGCTACCGTTGTTGTTGCTCTCTTGTCGCTCGCCCACAAACGCGACGTTGCCAGCTGTTCCCAAATTGAAAGTATGTTACCCATTACAGGGTTTTTATGGGTTTTTAAGGACCGTAACAATAAAAGCGGCATCTTTACGTGTTGCTAATCGCTCAAAGTAGCTACTATTAAAGTCGTGCGTATTCAGAACGTAGTGTATTTATTTTACGCACATTAAAGGAAAATAAATACATACTTACCTATGTATTCGCTTGTTTTTTTTTTTGTCAGAAAGAGGGGTAGATTTATTAAGAAATAATTTAATTGCGTTATTATCTTGCGGCAGCTGGCAATGTTAATATTAATAGCGATAAAAGGTATAACAAAAGGCGGCAGGTGGCAATACGAATCACTAAGCGTTACAATAAACTTATTTTTAGTAAAAGGTAAACAAACAAAAGTTTACATGAAATGAAATGCAAAGATAAATTGCAAGGTCATTTGGAAAACTACCTGTCCGGCAAATTTTTTTCGAAACTATCACGGAATACTGCCGATTTCTTGTTACCTATAATACGACATAAAAAGAATACCGACAAAAAACTACGTAATTTCTGTGTTCTGTTAATATTTTGCCTTACCTGTATAAGCACTTATGTTTATATCGACTGTTTTTTCGCATTTTTGAATTTCTTTTTGAGATTAAAGGCTATTGATTTAAATCATATTTAAATAAGAAGTACGTAAGGGTCAAAATTCTAAACTACAGTAAATGTTACACTTTTTAGGGAAGTCGTTTATTTTAAAAAAAAAATTTACACTATCCAATGCAAAATTTATTTTCCTTTGATTTATTACCCTTCACGACACTGTACGTCACTGGTCATTAATTCCTGTAAGAAACTTCTAGTTGGCATTTTTATATGAATTTCATTATCGTACCATTTTAATTTAATAAAAAATAAATAGATACGGAGCTGGGTATTATTTTTGGTAAAGTATAGGGTCGCCTTAAGTTCGTATATGGGGGGCGGCGCCCATTTTACACACACAGCATGTGGGTAGATTTTAGGTTTACACATCACATACGTATGTAGTTGTACCTACTTGTAACATAAAGACGTGAAGAGGGTTTATAAAATGCCGAATTTCCAAAAATAAAACGATCGATTCTTGTCCAAACTAAAAATAACTTGGCAACGTTGCACACAAGGCGTAAATATCCGATAATTAAAAAATGTGTGTATGTACTTATGTACACGCGTAAGAAGTTATACGATATTCCTTTGGTCTAACAATACAAAAATAAAAAGCATAATCTAATTAAAATAAAGTTTATTTATATGTTTCGTTAAATTATTTCCACATAATTAAAGTAACTTCAAAAAAATGGAAATCATATTAGTAAATATACAATTTATACATTAGGAAAATTAATTAAATTACGTCCATTAGTTGATCTTTTTGTGATTCAGCGGTCATGTGAGTCTTAAAGAGGTTACGATATAGCATTTATGACGCTGAGTGTACCTAAGTTTTTCATGTTAATTTTTTGTTCCGGTGCGCGCGCGTCGTGAAAATTCGCTCTCATCATTTTTCCATAACGCACCGAAATAGGTATAAATTCAAAAATTATAAACACCTTGTCTAGTTATAAATTAATTTTATTTAAATAATTGTATAATCCAAAATTATCATTTAAAATAATAATATTTTTTCAATTATCGTTTTCTTGCAAGCTTGTATTTATTTTTTGATTCAGTATCGCATTGGCGGCGAGTTAAATTTAACATGTTACATACGTTAACTATAGGCATAGGTACCTAATAAGTGTTTAGTTATTCACCACCAATGAATTTTATCTCTACCTGTACATTTTTTTGTGTACCTTATACATAAGTAACCCGTTTTTCTTGATCGTCTCGTGTCTAGTGTCGG